AATGACGAACAATCGTATAAAGTCGTCGACTCCGATCCCATGAAAGCACTGGTAGGCCAAATCAACAAGAAGCTGAACCAGATGAGGAAAGAAAAGGCAATATCAGAAAAGGATTGGAGACAAATGAAACCACAAGATGCTGCCCTAGCGCGCTTTTATGGTTTGCCGAAAATCCACAAACCAAATGTCCCCCTACGGCCCATTGTGGCGCTGAAAGGCACGCCTACATACGGACTGGCTAAATGGCTTGCCAAGCATTTGAAGAAGCTGACGGACGGCTCAGAACACACAGCTGTATCGTCAACACACTTCCTGGAAAGACTAAAAGACGTCACAATAGCCCCCGACGAAATAATGGTATCTTTTGACGTCGTCTCTCTATTCACCTCCATCCCTAAAGAATTGGCCATGAGAGCTGTCGATGACCTACTGAAGAAAAGGTACGACGAAGAAGGAAAACCTTTTAAGAGGAGGCACGCGATGGAACTACTGGACTACTGTTTACACACATACTTCACGTTTGACGGCCAAATTTACGAGCAAATCCAAGGAGCCCCAATGGGGTCCCCAATCTCCGGCTACCTGGCTGAGGCGGTCTTGCAGGAACTGGAAACTCGGGTCTTCGAGACATACAAGCCGAAATTCTGGATGCGCTACGTAGACGACACTTTTGTCATCTTACACCGAGACGCGAAAGACAACTTTAAAAGAGAATTGAACTCAGTTTTTCCACAAATCCAATTTACCATGGAGGAAGAAAATAACGGAGCGCTCCCTTTCCTCGACGTCCAGGTATCGAGGCAGGAAGACGGAACCCTCCAGACTGGTGTCTTTCGAAAGGCGACAGACACGGAGAAAATTCTTCATTACAACAGCAATCACCCCCTGTCGCATAAGCGCAGTTGTGTCCGGACCCTTTTTCGCCGCATCCACACACACTGCAGCACAGAAGCCGAGAAGCTGCGGGAGCGTAATACCCTATGGCGCCTCTTCCTTGCCAATGGATATCCACGCAGTTTTGTGAACAAATGCTTGTACCGAAGGCAC